TTTGTCAGATTCCTTGCTTCTGATAACCCCTGTACACTTGTATGGCGCACACTGGTTTCTCAAGTCTTATTGGAAAACAGAATAAAATTCATGAAAATGATATTTTCTTTGATTAAATGAACTTCATATCCATGTGTCAACCCCACATCAAACGAATCGAGTGGACGTTGCTTTTTCTGCGTTAAAGGTACACAATTTATTTCTAAACATAACCTTTGATTTTATAGTGCATGCATGAAACAATTAATTTATGGGATTCTGCATGATTTTCACTTTGAGAGTTTACAATTTACAATCATTAATAGTTAATTTCATGTTTTATATCACGTTTTTATTTGAACCATACATCGTAATCGCGTCTGTGTCGTCTACTACTTCTGTATATGAACCGTATTGGGGATATACTTTGACTTCAGAGAATAACATTGGACTTCTTTCTTGTAATTGTGCGAGAATTTTCAAAAGAAAGGAACTTAGCCCAAAAGATATCTGCAAGTGCTCATTATTCTTTTGAACTAAAAAAAGAAAATGGCAATTTACTTTTAGAACTAAAACTTTTGCCGGTTCAGTTCAAGATTATCAGTAAGTGATTTAATTAATTAAGTAATTTTACTCCATGCATATATTCTTTTGGAATATTTAAAAATGAAACATGTCATGTTTCCTTTTTTTACTTTTAAGATATTTATTCTTTTCCGCCGTCCAACCAAAAAAAGTAGTTCTTTCTAAAATAGGAAATTTATACCTCTGCATTAAGGTATTATTCACACAGCACGTAAAAAGATGCATTTATTCTTTGTTGTGTTACTTGCTAACAAATTGTTAACACAATTAATTAACTTTATTATGCTAAAAAGTAAGTTTAGCAGAAAATTATTCATTTTTACTTTAGTTTCAGCGATTATATATAAGACATGTATTCTACGAATAACTTTGTTGAGAAAATAGTTCCTGTACTTTAGGCACTGGAGACAGATGTAATAATTATAAGACAAATAATGAATAATCAATGTCAAAAGCATCAGCAACTCTTTGTACCTATGACAAATAATATCAAGTTAGAATAATTATTAACAATCTTGATTTGTCGTCCTAGGATTAGATAGAGATGCAGATTCATTGTCGAAATGTTCACGCAGTCATCTCTAACAATAAGCAAACAAGAATATCAGAAACGTGTCAAATGGAACACTTACCTTTTGGACAACATGATTGCACTAGATATTTACCCTTAATTTCAATATGCATGCAGCTTTTTAAAGGTTATATAAGGACCAGAGATGTTTGCTACAATTCACCCAAAATATTTTATTTCTCTCTTGAAAATGGGCACCATGGAGATGGTAATGGGTTCATCAATGGAAAATATGGAACCCAAGAGGGCTTATGTTACCTTCTTGGCAGGGAAAGGAGATTATGTGAAAGGGGTTGTTGGATTAGCTAAGGGTTTAAGGAAGACGAAATCGGTGTATCCTCTAGTGGTAGCTGTCTTGCCTGATGTACCAGAAGATCATCGGAAGATCCTCAAGTCTCAAGGATGTATTATTCGTGAAATTGAGCCCGTATATCCACCGGAAAATGAAAATATTCAGTTTGCCATGGCATATTATGTCATCAACTACTCAAAACTTCGCATTTGGGAGGTAATTTGTTTGCATGTTAATGTCTTAATTGGTCTGCTCGTCTAACTTAGTTTAACTTTTTAGATAGGGTGCTTTACGAGTTTCACTTTACCTTTACCATACAGAATATAGTCGAATTTTTTTATTCTTATTATTTATTGACTGATAATGAGACATAACTGTGGCTGCAGTTTGTGGAGTATAGCAAGATGATTTACTTGGATGGAGATATTCAAGTTTTCCATAACATTGATCACCTCTTTGAGTCTCCTGATGGTTATTTCTATGCCGTTATGGACTGTTTTTGTGAGAAAACATGGAGTAGTTCTCCTCAGTACAGAATCGGCTACTGTCAACAGTGCCCGGAAAAGGTAAAATGGCCGACGGAAATGGGACCTCCACCACCATTGTACTTCAATGCTGGGATGTTCGTTTACGAGCCGAAACTTTCAACTTATTCTGATCTCTTGGAAACCCTCAAAGTCACCCCTTCTACTTCATTTGCAGAGCAGGTAAAATTCTTCTCTTAAATTAATATCAAGTTATTAGCCTTTTGGTAAAACTTCTTTCTTTATCAGAAAGGCCTTAATATTGTCTGTTGAATCGATTTATGTGTGCAGGACTTTTTGAACATGTTTTTTAGGGACATATACCGTCCTATCCCTCCAATTTACAACCTCGTTTTAGCCTTGCTTTGGCGACATCCTGAAAATATAGACCTCGAACAAGTTAAGGTTGTTCACTATTGTGCTGCGGTAAGTATTCGTCCTCGAGCAAGTTATTGTACGTACAAAATCAATAAGAAATGGATTAATAACAGTCTTGCATGGCTTTTGATATAAACTTACAGGGATCAAAACCATGGAGATACACCGGTAAAGAAGAGAACATGCAGAGAGACGACATAAAGATGCTGGTCGAGAAATGGTGGGATATATACGCAGACGAGTCATTGGATTATGGAAACGACTCAAAGGAAGAGAAAACATCAGTTCCAGTGCTATCAGAGGCTGGTGTTATTCAACATGTTACTGCTCCATCAGCAGCATAACTTAGGACTATGTTTCTTCCTATTTCATTTCGTTAAGAAAACTAACGGTTTTCACAACTGGATCCCGAGCCCTTGAGGTTTATTAGTTAGTGTGTTTTCATAGTAGTTCACCGATCCAATTATAATAACTATGATTACGAATAATGTTATAGTGGGTTTACGTAGTAGTTTACCATAAATTTATGTCCCTATAATGTATTGTGAGCTTGTTTTACCATATAAATAATTATCCGAGAACGAATTTGAAATGTTCATTTATGAAAAGGTAGTTCTGTAATTCCCTAATTTGTGATATCTTGTTATGGTTTTTCACTTGAGTCATGATTCACCCTTAAATTCATTGATTCCAATGGAAGTAACTTCAGTTACAAAGAAAAGTAACCCAAAAAAATCAGCAAAGAACAGAATTATGTGGACTGATGTGAGAAACGTCGTACTTCCCACAAAATAAATTAATCCAAAACCCTTGCCAAATGTACACAATTTCAGATGCATATTAGCGCAGTGTACAACTCATGAGTTATTAGCAATATCGACAGACGCGTTCAAGTACAAGACAATGATCCGAAAGAAAGGAGAACAGGAACCAATGAAACTGTGCTGGTTTCAGTGTAATTCTTGAAAAATGAACTCTACGAATGTATATCATGCCTTCTAAATGTGAATGGGCTTGTCATAAGTGGCCATGGCGGCTTCCTTCAAGGCCTCGCTCATTGTTGGATGTGCGTGGCATGTGCGTGCAATGTCCTCACTTGATGCTCCATAATGCAAAGCCAAAACGGCCTCGTGAATGAGCTCCCCTGCATTTGGTGACATGATGTGAACACCCAATATCTTATCGGTCTCCTTCTCGGCAAGTATCTTAACCACTCCCTCAGCATCGTCAATTGCCTTGGCCCTACTGTTTGCCAAGAAAGGGAACTTCCCAACACGGTAATCAACTCCGAGTGCTTTTACCTGCTCCTCGGTTTTCCCTACAGATGCCACCTCAGGGTGCGTGTAAACGACACCAGGAACCATATCGTAGTCCACGTGACCTTCCTTGCCAGCAATATATTCCACGCATGCAACACCATCCTCTTCAGCCTTGTGAGCCAACATGGGACCAGGAATAACATCGCCAATAGCATATACACCCGGTACATTGGTGCCAAACCGATGATTCACCAAGATACGACCAGCTTTGTCAGTTTCAACTCCTATCTTGTCCAATCCAAGTCCAGCAGTAAACGGAACTCTACCAGCAGAAACAAGAACGAAGTCAGCTTCAAGAGTGGTCTGATCACCACCAGCTGCTGGTTCAAGTGTCAACTTCACACCATTACCTGCTGTATCTACAGAAACCACCTTAGTGTTGAGCATAAATTTCATCTTCTGCTTCTCAAGGGAACGTTGAAATTGCTTTCGGACCTCACCATCCATTGTTGGAACAATGTCTGCTGCAAATTCAACAACAGTGACCTCCGACCCTAGACGTCCCCATACAGAGCCCATTTCAAGACCAATATAACCAGCACCAATGACAACGAGTTTCTTAGGAACTTCTGATAGGGATAAAGCCCCAGTAGATGATACAATTCTCTTTTCATCAATGGTTATCCCCGGCAGACCTTTGACATCTGAACCAGTAGCAATTATGATATTCTTGCCTTTCACAACAGTGTTTCCACCTTCCAGAGTATCAACAGAAACTTCAGATGGGGAGAGGAATTTTCCATACCCCTTAACATAGGTTACTTTATTCTTCTTGAATAAACCTTCAATGCCTTTTGTTAAGTTACCCACAGCTTTATCTTTTTGGGCCATCATAGCAGGTAGATTAACCTCAACAGAAGATAATTTCACCCCGTGACTAGCAAATGAATGCTTGGCTTCATGATACATATGGGAAGAATGAAGAAGGGCCTGCACACATTACCAAATGAAGACAGTGAATATAATTTATTTTGTTTGTTGACCAAATGGCTGGCTATAAACTAGCATTTTCCAATAGAATTTTGCCACAAGACATATCCAAAAACCAAATGATGATTCAACGATAAGAAACAAGCATTCTTCAATAGCTCACAGAAACCGAATTTAAGTCCATTTATCTAACAATCTGAACTAGAAAAAAAAAAGAAAAGAAAGAATGGAAGATGATTTTAATAACTGAATATGTTATAGAAATATAACAAATTCAGTGTTGCTCAAAACATTGACTTGACACAGTTCACCATTGAAAATAAGATAAAATAGGAGTTCAAACAAGTGTTATTTAAAAATAGAACGATTTAAACGTCATCATAACTAAAATTCCACAATAAAACTGCGTAGAAAAAGACCTTATTTACTTAGAAGCCAGATGACAAAGGGACATCCAAATGCACTACTCACCATTTCACAACAAAATAAGCTACTTCAGCAACCAAATAACATAAAACTTATGATATCCGGTTAGACAGCTGACATACTTAGTTCATTAATTTTGTGGAGTGGCCATGGTTATTTGTCTTGAAATGGAGATAAGCACTATTGAATTACTATAACATTATTTTCCTAATAATTGAATTACTATTACTTTTTCATCCATGATATCAATTTTTTGGCAACCCTTGAAAGTGTGCTATATCAAATATTGAAACCATCTTGAGATGATGGGGCCAGCAAAACTTTTCTTTTAGTTCAATTTAATCTTACCCACCCATCAGAAAAGGGGAGAAAAATGGATATCCTTCACAAACATCAAAAACTACACTGGCATGAGCATTCTTATCTTTTATACTTGTCAATGTAATTGGACCTACTCAAGCAATTTTTCAATAAGAAATATGAGCCAAAAACTAAGACTCGCTTCTTCTGCTCCCTTACTACACTATATAAGATATAAGGCAGAAAAAAGGAAAGGAAAAATGATAATCAATTGAAAGAAAAATAAGCAGATTTCCAGCACAAGAAACCCAAGTTCTATTTCTTTCATTTAATGCCAGATGAAAATGTCACATATTTAGAATTAAGTTCATTAGTTAGTCACAGTGCCTAAGGTAAAAGTTCAAATCTTTCATAATTCTCAAAATTATGATTGTTAGTCATCAATTCCACCGGGTGGAACATTAGCAGCACACAATCGAAAATTACACCGACAAATAAAAGCACAAAACTTGTGCATATAAAAGGGTACCAGAATTCATCAAACGAATATAGTAAAACACAGACAAACATGAACATGCTCAATCTTCAATCACATAAATATCAAACAAGCACAATTTTTACAATCTAAATAAAACAGAACAAGAACACAACAACCGAAATTCAATTCAGTATATCTAAAACAAAACCGGAACAATACCTTGGAAGGTATACATCCGACATTGAGGCAAGTTCCACCGAGGGCACCACGCTTCTCAATACAGGTAGTCTTGAGCCCAAGCTGAGCGGCCTTGATGGCAGCCACGTAACCTCCTGGTCCACCACCTACCACAACGACATCGTTTTCATCAGATCCGGACGACACAGAGTAGCTCCTGCTAACAATTGACGAGTACTTTGACGAATTGCTGTACAAATGCCTCCATGATGAAAACACTGTCGTGGCTTTTCGCCTGGAAATACTAGCCATCGCCATTTCTGGGTAGCTTTGAGTGGAAAATTGAAAAATCCTTTCTTTTTGATGTTTAGGTTTAGAGTCTGCTATATACAATGGTGAATGGACGAGGATATGGAACATGCTTTAATTAATTAAATTAGAAGTGAAAATTACACATTTAGTCTCCAATCTTTTTTTCTTCTTACTAATTCATCCCCCATTTTCAAATTCGAATTTTATGTCCTCCTATGCTTAGCATCCTTAACGGAAGACATGATCTTGACATATAACCCCCACTTTTAGGCCCATCACAAGGAAAAGGAAAATCAAAAGCTACTTTATTCGATATGAAACAAAAGTTGCAAGCAAATAGAACACTTTTCAGAATTATAATATCATTACATGAATCATAAATGCATAATGTACCAAAAAATTCAAGATTCCTTTGTTTTGATGTGAAAATGATTGTACATCCCACAAGTCGCTAATCATGAATTCTTTACCCCAAAGAGGAAGTGCCCTATTTAAATCCGATTGTGTGAGACAAGTTTTGAACCTCGACATTGTGGTTTGAGTCGAAGTTCTACTGTAATGTTCGTTTTTAATGAAATTATACATAGAAAAGAAGGGGAAAATCCATTATGAATGTGCAACCATCATCATGATTTTCGAACTTATAGGATCAGAAGGAGAAGGATGGTGAATTCTTCAATCCTTGGAGTGGCGCGAGATGAGGCCCAAGTGCAGTTTAATAAAAAAATAATAATAAAACTTGGAATGATCGATGCGCAATTGAATATTTCAACTAGAGAATGACAATACCATCTTCATCTTAATAAAGGGAACATCAACGGTTTGTGTTCAAAAGGATTCATTCAGTCAACAACGCCAAAGGGTGAGGTGTGAAAGTTCAAATTCGGAGGTTGGGGACGAATTAGCAAGATGTATGAAATGTTGGGGACAATATAAAATATTTACTAAAATTTGAACTATTTTGCTTGTTGGTGGAGTAGACCATGCAGGATCACAGCCGTTGGATCATGAGATTAGTAGTGAGCGATTATTTTGACTTTTAGCATAACCGTGGACTCTATTCGTTGCCGACAATCTGGACCGTTAATTAAAAATGTGCACAATTTATATTTTGCAAACTGAATAAAATTCAAAATTTATAACTCACTTTTGTTAATGATATTATTCTTCTTTCTATGATTATTGACCAAAATATAATGTAATGGGAAAAAGAATATAATAAAAAGTCAAATGAGATAAGATTATTTAATATTTAATGGAAATTAAAATTGATTGGTTAAATTCTTCTACTCATCTAATTAAATAAAATAAACAAAGAAATTGCGCCAAACCTAGAATTACATTAATCGATCCTGAACTTGTTCAATTAGCAGTTTAGTCCTAAAGATTATAAAGGAGCAAGTTAGTCCATATTTTTATTGTAATAGCATATGCTCACTTTAAAGTTTTATATAACAGCTTGGTTGAGAAACAAAATCTAGTTTCTTCAAGTTAAAAACACTCTAAACACGTAAAGCGTATGTGATGACAATTATGCAACTAAAATAAAATATCGAGGACTAACTTTGTTGCCTACACTTAAGTTTGAGACAAATTTACTGCTCAAGAAATAGGTTGAGCATCAATCGGCAATTTTCCTATATTTACAGACACCAAGACAAGCAATTCCAGAATTTAGA